GGGGGGGTTGTAGATGCAGCACAGCCCGCAGTGTGTGTGGACTCACCGTGTCAGATCACTGCAACATCAGATCTCTGGCAGCTTCTCCTCCGGGGATCCGGACATTCCATGCACTCAGCATCTCCCTTCTTGCAGCATCATCTCCCCTGACTGGGCTCACCTCTCCCTGCTTCACTCCCCCCTCCATCAGCAGGTTGCTTTAACTTCTCCCCTCCCACCCCTTCCACCAGCCCACCACCTACAGAGCAGACAGACCTCCTTCTCCGGGTCCCCCTCTTCTCCTGTCACCCCCTCCTCTGACAGGGAGCTCCCCCATGTGCCAGCACTGCTCCCTACACACCTCACCATGTGCTGCCTGCAGGGAGGGCAAGGCATGAGGGATTGGCACATACAATCGTGAGACTGATATAATCACTTCATACACCGGGTCCCCCTCTTCTCCAGCCACCTCCACATATAGAACCCCCTCTTCTGCTCTGACAGGGACCCCCCATGTGCCAGGACTGCTCGCTACACACCTCACCATGAGCTGCTTTCAGGGAGGGCAAAACATGAGGGACTGGCACATACAGTCGTGAGACCGGGTCCCCCTCTTCTCCAGCCACCTCCACATATAGAACCCCCTCTTCTGACCTGACAGGGAACCCCCATGTGCCAGGACTGCTCACTACACACCTCACCATGAGCTGCATACAGTCTTGCTGCTATAATAATGACCTCTTGCACTGAGTCCCCCTCTTCTCCTGTCATCCCCACCTATGGCACCTACTCTCCTGTCCTGACAGGGAGGAGCCCCCCCCCCACCTCCACACAATGTGCCATGAGTGTACCATACACACCTCACCATGTGCCCCCTGCAGGGAGGGCAAGACATGAGGCAATGCACACACGTACACTACATAGGGTAATACTGACTTCCTACAGTGGGTCCCCCTCGTCTTCTGTCACCCACACCTATGGCACTTCCTCTGCTGCCCTGACAGGAAGCTCCCCATGTGCCATGACTACATTACACACCTCACCATGGACTGCTTGCAGGGAGGGCAAAGCATGAGGCACTGCACACACAGTCCTGAGGCTTATGTATTGACCGTCTTCTCTTGTCACCCCTATCTATGGTGCCTCCTGTCCTTCCCTGACAGGAACCCCCCATGTGCCATGACTGGACATTACACACCTCACCATGGACTGCGTGCAGGCTTTTACAAGTCAGGCAGGGCAAGGCATGAAACCATGGCACACACACAGCCATGCTGCTGATATATTCACATTCCAGGGCAGGAAAAAGTGGCATAAAGTGTATATTTAGAGGCAGAGACAGCTGGCAGGGGACGGGGTTAAGGGTCTGCTAGCATTCTGGAATGATCATTGAACAACTGTGAGCTATCGTGAGGGCTCGCTTAGGCCTCTTTCACCCGGGTGTAAAGAGCAGACAGTTGTCATGTGTTAATAAAGCTTTACAAATGGCAAATGCCTGTTCTTCACATGAATAGCGAATGGTCTAATAAAAAAAACAGCGCAGTTGCGTCACTTCACGTGACATCATTACAACTTGCAAAGCTTGCCAGACACCTCCATTCATGTCAATGGAGGCTCACCGTGAATGCGTTCTGAATACTCCTAAGGCATTTGACACTTGTTTGTGGAGCGCTGCGGCAAAGCTCTTTTCCTTGCCCCTCCCCCCCCATCAAAAAATTACATTGAAAGCTTCAGAAATAATTTATCGTCTCTGAAATGCATCCGAACCACAAACTAATGCTATAGGCCGGGGCTAGGCAAGCTCAGGCCCTCCAGCTGCTGTGGAACTACAAATCCCATGAGGCATTGCAAGACTCTGACAGCCACAGGCATGACTCCCAAAAGCAGATACATGATGGGACTTGTAGTGTGCCCACAGCTGGAGGGCCAGAGTTTGCCTACCCCTTCTATAGGCATTTCCGAGACTGTTCAGCCCGTGCGAAGGCTGTGAGGTATTTTTTGGGGCTTGCCCTTGGTTCTGAGAAGCAATAGCTGACACTGGGGGGTCTATTTATAAACAAATTGCAGAGTTATTGGCCCTGCAAGTTTCTGTAAATGTTCATTCTGTGCAAATGGATGCGCAAAACAAATAGTATTTTCGAATGTCATCTTGTAATACCGCATTATGGCCAGTAGATGGCGCTGAGTAGCAAAGGAAACAGGTATTTATTTCCTATGCTTCTCAGCTCCATCTTGTAATTGAAAGTATATCTAAAGCCAATGCATAGAGTAGGCAATGATAAGAACTGTCAGTTCAAGGGTCAAGCTCTTCTGCAGGAAAAGTCAATATTTGCATATACCTTCAGCTTCCTCCATCTCAGGATGAAGGATAAGCTCAGGTTCGAACCTGAACACAGCCTCACATGTTCCAAAGTTGAGCTCCTCCTCCTTCTGCTGTCGCTTAATCAGCTGCGGACGGGGAATGCCCTGGCTGCAGCCGCACATGAACAAAGGGGCAGGATGCAGTGACATCATTGACCTTATATGGCCTCACATGGCTATATTTGGTGAAAGACATTGACCTTATATGGGCATGTGGCTATATAAGGTCAACACAAGCATCCTGCCCCTTTTGGTTATGTGCAGCTTCAGGACAGGGAATGCCCCAGCCTGCTGCTGATTGGGCAGGGGACCCCCAGGAGCTTAGGTTTGGACTGTGTTTGGTCGGAACCTGAGCCCATCCTTACTCAGGATCTACAGTAGGGCTCATTCTGACAAGGGAAGCTGTCACAAGAAAAATAAGTGAGCTCTCACTGCTGGATTTCTATACAAATAGGGATGTTATGTAGGTGTCATGCTGATCCGGTGGCTTCACTACATTCTAAATTACTGAGGTGACTCGCCCATTGTCTGTATTTGTTCTATATTGCTGAATCAGAGATTATTGAAGCCACGGAGACAACTATTATTTTTGGGGCGTCAGCAATGGCAGCTTCGGGGCCGATGATCGGGACAGGACCATCCGATCCCACAAGATCTGCGGATGAGCAGGATACGACCTCGGTGTGCTTTGACACATGTATCACCATCCGCCCTTCCCTATGCAAGGCAAGGTTGCCTTAGTGTAAAAGAGCCGCACCCTCCTGTATCCATGTAGTGTGGGGACACCACCTCTCCGCCTGGGGGAACAGTGAGGAAACCGATCCAGAAATCCCCGATCTTTAACCCTTTCCGCTGTAAAATATCTGCAGACATCATCACAACTGCCAGAGCCGGAAGTCATTACACTTTAATATCAATCCGTGGATTATTTATAGTGGGCGGTATGAGAAGAAGCTCAGACTGGCCCACTAGAGGTCCAAACAACCTCTGGGGTGCTGTCTCCATTCCTTGTCATGCTTGTCCTTGACATCTATTTGCACATAGATACCTGTGTAGTCTGTCTTTATATTATACTCCTCCAATCAGGCTTCACCGCATTGCACGGTGCACAGGGAGCTGGCTGAAAGGAGGAGAGAGCACAGGGTTGACTTCATTGGTGTGCAGTAAGCAAAATTAAAGAAGAACATCAGGAAAGAAAAAACTTACTCTTGCAGCGGGCCTACCCCCTGCACTCCAAGGGTTACGTGCTCGGACTGTCTTGGTGAATCCCGGACAGGTGACAACCCTACTCTCTTCCCCTCCGCTCCAGCTATGAAATCTTCCTCCGTGTCCTCACGTCTAATGCAAATCAATGGACCTGCATAAGTCAGGACCAAGGATTTGACTCCCCTAGACCAAAGTAAGCACTGAACCCTTGCAGTACGGAGGTAGCCCCGCTGCAAGGGGAAGTTTTTTCTTTTCCTGGAGTTCTTCTTTAAACTCTACAAAAGAAGGTAGGGATTTTTTTGTTTTGCCAGAAAGGACATGCAAAGCCTCTTCTGCCAAAAATCTTCTTCCTCTTTTCCCCCAGCAATGTTTTATTTCCTGTGTATACTGTATGGTGCATGTCATGCAGTCTGCGGTATCAGCTCGTTCCCAGGGGATGATGTAACTCCTGAGGATATGGCAGAAGTTGCCACCCAATAGCCAGCGAACAACGCCGTGGGACCTGGATGAATCAGCAGCAGGGGGTGCAGTGGTGACAGGTGCCCGGACCCGTCATTGGACAGTACAGAAGGGAGTAGGTGTGTGCCATAATCTGCACGTATGCTACCTAAAGGTCGAGGGGTCATGAGACAGCGATCTCTGAGAACTCCTTATTTTATGTAATTCTATAGCAGGGGCAGCCAAACTTAGGCCCACCAGCTGCTGAGGAACTACAAGTCCCACAAGGCATGACAAGACTCTGACAGCCCCAAACATGACTTCCAGAGACAGATGCATGATGGAATTTGTAGTTTCACCACACCTGGAGGGCCCCAGATTTGGGGATGGGGACTGCTGCTCCCACACAAGGTGAAGCCACCCGGGTCCAACAACTCCCTGCACACTGATCCAATCAACAACGCTGCTCAGATAGCATGGTCATTGTAGATTGGAGCGCTGTGCAGGAGACCGCTGGAGAACCCAACTCCAACTGGAACATTTCAGAGAGACGATATGGTTTTTATCACTCTCAGGACAGGAAATGGGGAGAAGTCTATTGAACAGGATCATAGAACCAAAAACATGTTTCAGTAGAATGAGGAAGGGTTAACTCTTCCTACAAAGTTTTGTTTGCTGTCCGTGCTTCCTGTTCTGGTGACAACCGCTCCCCCATTTCAACCTCCTCAAGGACAGGAAGTGAGGGAAAATCTCCCCAGTGGGGTCACAGACAGCAAACTAATCTGACCAGTTCATTTTAGTTTTAAAAGCCCTCCCTGCTTTAAAGTCCGTAGAGACTTCGGAAGGTGGTTGGATACAGGGGCGTCCCGAGGCCGCCGTGTCGTCATCGCGCGTGCACGTGTCGTCATCGCGCGCGCACGGGCATCTGATTGACGCCTGCCGGCGGCCATCTTGGTGATAGACGCCGGCAGGGAGAGGAGGGGACGTTCATCCGGCGGAATGAGTTATGCCGCTGGGTCCCCTCCTCTCTCCTGACACTGGGTAGTCCGTCTATTTAGAGGGGGTGACACCAAAATGACTGTCAGTCATTTTGGTGTCACCCCTGCAATGGTGTTACCCGGG